ATCATCTCGTTCATAGACTGTATAGTTGTTAGTAAACTATGCAAATGTTATACTCGTGACTTTGATTAGCGTTTTTAATACGCAAATTTTGATAACTTATACACCCAAATAGGTATGTATACTCATGTGATCCTGAGTATGATAAATGCAAGTTTTGATAACTCATATACATGAATAAGATATGTATTACGTGTGTTATCCCGAGTAAGATAGATGTAGGTTTTAATAACTCATATACTTGAATAAGGTATGTATTATTTGTGTGACCCTGAGTAAGGTAGATGCAAGTTTTGATAACTCATATACCTAAGTAAGGTATGTATAACTAGTGTGACCCCGAGTAAGGTGGATGAAAATTTTGACAACTCGTATACCAAAGTAAGGTGTGTATAACTTGTGTGACTCTGAATAAGGTAAATGCATGTTTTGATAACTTGTATATCAGAATAAGGTATGCGTAACTCGTGTGACCCCGAGTAAGGTATGTATAACTTGTCTGACCCCGAGTAAGGTAGACGCATATGTTGATAACTCATACTTGAATAAGGTATGTATGATTGTGTGACCCTGAGTAAGGTAAATGCAGATTTTGATAACTCATATACTTGAGTAAGGTTAGTATAATTCATGTGACTTGAATAAGATAAATGTAGGTTTTGATAACTCGTATACCTTAGTAAGATATGTATAACTCATGTGACCCCAAGTAAGATAGATGTAGATTTTGACAACTCGTATATCGAAGTAAGATATGTATAACTCTGTGACCTCGAGTAAAGTAGATGCAAGTTTTGATAACTCATATACTGAAATAAGGTATGCATAATTTGTATGATCTCGAGTAAGGTATTATAACTCGTGTGATCCCGAGTAGGATAGGTGCAAGTTTTTATAACTCACATACCTAGGTAAGGTATGTACAACTTGTGTAACCTTTAGTAAGTTATAATTTTTATACTCATGTTCCTCGAGTAAGGTATAATTTTTATACTTGTGTCCCCTGAGCAAGGCATAATGTATATAAGTTTTACAACTTTGAGTAGCTGCGAATGAAATGTGTAAGAGAACCAAATAGGATGAGTTCCTTGATTATATTTTTAACTTGCTAGCACTGATTGGTAGTATGCCCGTAATTTTGATGAAAATGACAGTATTGGATGATATCAACATTAGCTGAATATGGTAGAGGTGGTGGTGTACACACCAATTCAAGTTTGAAAGCCTTTAGCAAGATGTGTTCTCTACTAGCATTCAAATGTGTGTAATATTCATACTTAGTTGTCCTAAGTTTTTTGAAGGATTGGGTCAAGTAGGTCCAAGGAGAGATGTTTTTCTTATTTTTAAATCTAGCATTGTTGTCCTTTATGCGAATATAATTGGTTGCTTGAGCGTGCAACTCATTGAAGGATCTCAGTCGAAAAACAAAATAATTATCAATTAAAGGTCCGACTGTAAAGCGACTTATATTTCGTGCAAGATAACAACAAGGTGAAAATTTAATATATAGAATTTGATATTTTGGCAAATTATTCCATGAAACTGCAAAGGGATTCACCCTCGCCTTGTTTCACAATTTCTAAAGCCACCGAAGTGGCTTCGTGCATATTACTAGCTGCAAACCTAAGTCATAACCGTTCTGCTAAGGTGTAGTATGGATTGATAGAATTATATGGTAAAGAATTGTACATCATAAGGCTGGTCCTCACAATATGATAGGGAAGACTTGACACGATACTACTTTATTATTAGTATACAAGTTATATGTGTTTTGTACATTGCTAAATATTTTTCTTGACCTGTCGAGTCATCATACTTCTCTAACATGAGTGTTTCCCAATTAGTTAGGAAAGAGGTTACCATGATTCCTAGAATGAATGAGTGATCTTTATCTTTTGTGCAAATTTTGATTTGTTGTGTATGTTGGATGTGTGTAGGTTAAAGTTAAGGTGGGGCTTCCACTTAAGGTTCTCTCGGAGGTGAGAGTTGAACAACTGATTTCTTAATGTGCTCATGCTTAACATTCTCCCTTAACTGACTCTTTCTTACTTGACTTGGTGGCTTAACATTTTGTCCAAAAAGGTTCCTTAACCTATGTTCGGGTCGACTTTTGGTTTTCTCTGAATTTTGGATCATTGAGTGCGTTTTAAGGTTGGTGCTATTGACGATTAGATGTGCACTTGACCTGATGTTGCAGTATCTTTCAACTATATTTTTGACCTACTTTTGGGGTCGTTTGATAAGGACTTTTAACTTATTTCATAAAGTTTAGAGCTCAGTTTAGTGTTATTTTCATACTAACTCCAAGTCTTGTACTGCTTTTTGTTGGATTTGCAAGAGTTTAACGTTATTTTCTTCTTGCATATTCTTTATATCCTCTTGATTTCTTTGTTAACATTCGTCCATTTGTTTTTTGAGATTGTTGAAGACAATCGTAGGATCTATATGGTCATTTGAATTTGATATTTTTTTAGCTTCGAGTTAAGATCATGGAATGAAAGAGATCGTGTGGATTGTTTTACCGAAGCCCCACAATGGGCGTCAAGTGTTCCGTCTAGAAACGAAAGTGTCTCAACTTTATGTCCACTATGATAACATCATTAGAGTCAACTCTCATACCACATTGGTGGATTAAGAAACGAGGGTGTATATAAACTACCATTATCGATTTCTAAGTGATGTGAGACTCATAAATGTAACAATAATGTTCTTACTAAAATGGTAGATGTGGGCAAGAGGGTGTGAGGTTGGACTGAAGAGATCGGTAAATCAGATTCTGAGTTGCGACTTGAAAATGATTGAAAATAGTTTTTTTTTTTTTAAAGACCAAAGACTCACCTGCAAAAGTATTTCGACATCAAATAAACTTTTAGACGAGAGTAATATATTTGAGAATAAGTGATAAAATAATATTTACATCCTGAATAAACCTCTTTATATATGACTCATAAGATAATAATAATGACCGATAATCCATAAAATAATAATCAATCTAAAATAATATATAAAAGATAATTAATAAAATAATTAAATAATTAAATCAATAAAATAATTTTAATAGATTTAGTTTGGTAAATACAACTGTGTTATTAATTTTAATTTCTGATATATCTATTAATAAATTACATGATTTTATATTATATTAAAATTTTGAGATTTCAACCCAACAAACCATCTGTTTAGAAAAATATATATGGAAACAATTTAAAGAAAACTTTTGATAGTATGAGAGAGGCGTGCACTTGGCTGGTTCCACGGTCGTCCGAAGAACTATCACAACATTGTACTTCATACCTCACCCTTAATAACCTTATATGTCTTTTCCTTATCATATCCTAATCCATGCTATCAAATTAAGTAATAACTTAATTTGAAATTGTTTTATTTTTAAGCAATAACTCATATTAAATATTAGATTATGAGAAAAAATAAATTATTTAAATTTTCCTCCCTTATCCACTTATGCTGAATTTTATAATATGGTTTGTGTATTTAATTTTTTTATCTGTTATAAATTATAATAAAATAAAATAAATTTGTATTTGTACAACTAAGATACTAGTATTTCGTATGATTTGAAAATATATTTAAAATTTGGAATAAGTGAATTGATTATTTTATTTTGAATTTATGTTTAGTGTAATTTAATAAATTAACCTATACTTTTGTAATTTTGAACTTTCAAATATTAAGTGTGTAGAGAATTGAAAAAACTTTCATTAAAACATTAATCAAACACAAAATTTTATATTATTAATTTACGATTTATTACTTTTTTTCTCAATATACTTTTATTTATATATTTTTATTTCCTATCATTCCACTATTCTTTATATTTTATATCTACGATTCTTTTCATACTTCTACTCATCATATTCAATTATTAAAAATAAAAAGGCGAATAATTCAATTCTATAAAATTAAATTATAAAATAAGATTCGTATATCATCTATATATATTATAATATTTTTATATTTCTAATTGATACAAGATTTAAAGAATAATTTTTCAGATACAATATTAAAAATAAAAAAAATACCCATTCTTTAAAATGACTTATAAAATAAATTTATATCTCATTTATATATTATAATAATATCATAATTTTTTATTAATATTATATATACACTTTAAATTTGATAATTTTAAAAAAATTATAAAATTAATATTATCATGATTAATATATTTTGTTTATTATTTATTATTAATATTAGTAAAATAAAAAAATATATAATCAACATCACATTACAAATTCATGATTATTTTGAAATATATTTATTCTTTTTCTGAAGATTGCTTATTATGAAACCAAAAGAGTAATATATGTAATAAAGTTTAACCTGCCAATAATTCTATGGATAAAGAAAGTGATTTGAATGATAGCTACAGAAATAATATCGTATGTCAATTCAAGCAAACAGGGAATAGATCCATATAATTATGCAAGATATTTCACAAAAATCAATACTTGTAAAAGTGTCATTAGGTTTCCTGCTATCAAGCTCTTTTATGTTTGTGATAATTGACTATATAAATGCTAAGTCTTATCCTTTATGCAATACCTAGAGTGAAGCAGATAGCATTTCTTTTCCCTTAAATTTTCTGTACCAAAACCAGACATACACTTCTAAATCCCCATATATATAAAGGTTGGAAAAACCTTGACATCATTCACCAAAACTAGTTGGAAAAACCTTCATCTCTATATATAGTCTCTCACCATCATCTTGTTCAATCCCCTTTCAGAAATCCTTTATATCATGCATAGATTCATTCTTCCCAGACTTTTCAACGTGCGTAACTACATATATTTATATATCAGTCTTTTACGTAGCAGTTACTACAACTGAACTAGTAGCAGCAGCTATATAAACTGAGAAGTAGCAGGAACAAAATCAACCACAAGCTAGCAAGAGTGATGAAGCAAGAAGACAACAACAGCTTCAGCAAAACCAAAAACATTTCTGGACCCTTCAAATCTTTCGGAAGAAGATGCACTAGGCTAGCGAAGGAGCATAGAGCCAGGTTCTACATCCTTCGACGCTGTGTCACAATGCTTATTTGCTGGCAAGATTGCGAATAACCCTTTAAGTATACTTGATTTAATATGTTGAGCCTTTAACCATGTCTATTAAGCCTATATATATATATATATATATATATATATGTATGTATGTATGTTGTGTGTGAAATATGCATATCTATATACCCATGCATTATTTACACCTTAACCACGTATAGTCCCTTCCCAAGAAATGTAAATATGCAGTCCCTTGCTGATATAGTGAGAGGATGATGCTGTTGCCACTCGATTAATATATATATATATATATATATATATATATATATATATATATATATATGATGAATTGTTATGTATATATATGTGTTAGCATAACTACCACGTATTAATTCGTATAATATGATTTATATCATATAGAACTTGTTGCATTTTAACAAATGTGTCTTGAGTTTTTAATGTCCAAATGGGTGATTTCTACCATGGTTCTGCATAAAATCAATATATTTTCATTCTGCTAATGTAATTAGACCATTAATTTTTATGTATAATTAAGATTTTCTTGAATTAATTTTATCTCTACTAACAATTTGTTTTAACATACAAGCTACAAAGAAATCGGATGAACATAGGACCAGTTATTTGCTAACTGTACTTGACTTTTTTTTTTTTTTTACGTTATATATACATATTCATATTTGGGTTACCGTATGTGACTGTGTTGATGGAGGAATGCTATACCGCTGTTCTATTGAGTTTATTTAATTTACATAACTTGAAGGAATCTTCGATGTGTCGAAGGTTTGAATATGAAAGACATGGAGAAAGGAACAAAATCCTGAAATAACCTTTGATAGCATGTATATGGTATGCATTGGGAAAAAAATTGACTGAAACCATGGAGATTCAGGGGTAAGTTTAGATTCTATCACTACTTGCAATTCTGAAAAATGTTCCTCTACAATAATGGTCAACTTGTCAATGTTATATATATATATATATATATATATATATATATATATATATATATATATATATATATATATATATATATATATATATATATATATATATATATGATTTGATTTTAAAAGCCTTAAATATAGTTTTGGTAAAAAAAAATTATTTTAATTTTAATTTTATACAATAGTCTACAATATTTTTATAAGATTATATTTTTAATGTTTCTCCTTATTCTATCAATTTTTTTTTTCATTCTTTTTTTCTACACTACACAAATATAGTTTTTTTCTGAAGCAATATACATTATTTATAATAACTAAGTATTTAATGATTATTTGGCTAATAAAATATATATATACAAAATTATACGTATTAAATAACAATTAGATTATATTATGATGAATTATATTTGATAAACATTGATGGTGTATAATGAGAAATTCAATATGTTGTATATTAGATCTAATTACTTATTCATGTAAAGTTATTAAAGATGGAAAACGTATTAATCCACTTATTTTGTTTAAAAATAGGATAAAGTTGACTAACCAATAAAGACAAGTTACAAATTCTAATATTTTTAAAGATGAGTTAGTAATCCAATTCATTAATACTTTTTTATATAAATTTTTTTAATATGTATTTTTTAAAATATATCATTAATTATATAAATAATTTTAATTATTTATTAATTATTATTTTATTAAATGAATTAAAAAAATTACTATATTTATGTTTAAAATAATTAATAATTTATACTTAATTGATTCATTTTTATAATATAAATTATAATATTATAATATATTTACATTATTTTAATAATATGACATAGAAAAATATAATAATTTTAATTATAATTTTCTTATTTTAATTTTAGTATATAAATATTTTTTTAAATAAGTCAGTAGATCAATTTGTTTTGTTTCGGCCTAATTTTTGTCCATTAGGGAATTAAGTAAGGTAAATTAAAACTATTAATATATCCTATTATCTTTAAGACAGATCAGATTATTAGAAGTAACTTATTTTACCATTTAAAAATTATAAGAGTAATAAAACATAAAACATTTTTTATTTTAAAATATAAACAATTTTATAAAAGAAATTCTCTCTTCGCATCTCATTCTATTATCTATAGTAGATTCATGCATAATTTTGTAGACTCATGCATATTCTTGTTGTTGTGATAAACATATGTAGGCACTTTCATCTTACAAAATTATAATGCTTTATATGATATCTTAATTAATTTTTTATAAGTCATTTCACTACACCCACAATATTAAAGGACTTAGTTCGACACTCAATCATCTAAATACGAGACATATATGTCTAAATACGACACTCAGTCATAATTCATATTGATAACAACATAATAAACTCATATATGTCCAATTGCTACTTCACTTACATAGAAACAATTCTAATAAAAATGTCAACACATAATAATAGATCATAAGTGATCTTAAAAAATACTTAAGAAAATAATTTTTCTTTTTCACACATAATAAACTCAAACTTATTTTCCCTACCACCAACTAAACAATCACCCAATCTTACTAAAAAGAACAAACAATCAGAGTGTACATTTATTTACCTAAAAGGGAAGTTTAACTTAATTTTAAAAAATTCTGAGTTGAGCAATAAGTGTCTAAAAAGGGAATGAATTAATTATGTTTGCCCCCAAGAAAGTGGCCAAGGATTACGTGGAATGAAAGTTCCTCGAAAGGGAAAGCCAGTCAAAATGAATATTATGGGTCATGGTGTACAAACATGGCCAACAAAAAGTGCACCAGGAAAGAAGAATGAAGGAAAAGTGGAATACACACACAAATCCAGAACATTGCCAATCAAAGACAGCTAGTGAAAAAAATAAAAGAACAAAGAAAAACATTGCTATTAAACAGCTTGCTATATCAACATCTATTGACCTTGACATTAATGTGGGATCATCAACAGGGAAGATAAAGTACATTTCCAGAGAAAGAACATATTCATAGTCAATCACCTAAAATTATAATTATGTTATTAATCATAAAATATTAATTTTCTTTATTACATAATCAATTCAAGAGCATTAAAGTTAAGTTATTTTATAAGGTCTATAAATTCACTGATTTTTTAATTAGCTAATTTTAGTTTATAATATTAAAAAAATAAACTATAAGAAGATAATGATGAATACTTTAAGTTGAAAAAACACGTGCACTTCATTGATCCTTATTTTAGTCATATGATGATTTTCTAAGGAACAAGATGTTTGTGTTGCTTAAAATATGATTCATAAACCCATTGCTAGATCCGAACTTCAAGCGCACTGTCGCAAGAGACTTGTCACTACAAATTACAATCATAGCTAAATCAATCTGTTAAGAAAAGAGCAAAAACGAGTCAAATGTTTGGTTTTTTAATTATTATTATTATTATTATTATTTAATTTTATAGAATTAAAAATAATTCACAACTCTCAAAACTTTGGTGTTTTTTAATCTCTTATTTATAAAATCATTTTAAAATAAATTCATTTGTTAGATGTTACCGGCCCAGTAAAACATGTTGGATTCGGCCTACCTGCCATGTTGAAGGTAGGGTGGGTTGATAGGCCCATAAACTATCATGCAAAAAAAGGCTGATTGAGAATTATAAAAGATGTCTGCTTAAATTTAAAACAGTTTAACATTAAAATTAAGAAACTTAAAAATTATTTCATGAATTGATGGATTCAAGGCACAGTATTATCACAGTAACAATCAATTAATATCCAAATAAAAATAAATAATATATGTAGAGGGAGTTAAATTAAAAATGATTTTCTATAGGGATTGAATTCAAAATAAATATTACGCATAATTACTAAAAATACATTTTACTTTATAATTTTTTTCACAATACAAAATTTTTTTAAATTCATAGGTTTTACTTAAAACTAAGACAGCCGAAGCAAAAGTTAGCATACTAAAAAGTTACTTGTGTTTTATGTAATGTAACTATTTAATTAAACCTTATATTAGTCCAAAGTAAATGTTTTGAAAAGTCAAAGAGTTTAATTAAGTTGGTTGAATTAGATACCTAAATTATTATAACATATATATATATATATATATATATATATGTTAAACTTTTTTTTCCCAATCTATCCACATATGTAACCAAGTACTGGGCCTGACAAAAGCCCCGCAGAAGCCTGGGACTGTGAGATATTTATAAACTTCGTAGGCTTCGTGGACCGCATTTTTTTCAATTGGGTTATTGTCACCTTTTACACCCATTTGATTTTTTTATGTATGAATAAGTTAATCAATTTCATTGGTAAATTTTTAATTTATTTCATATATTTTCAATTTTATTTAACCAATCACTTTTCATTTTTACTTATTTAATTTATTTATCCCCTTTATTTCCTTTTTATGTCAAAAATATGTAAATGAAAAATTCATTTAAAAAAAGAAAAAGAAAAAAATAAATCGAGCCGCTTTGTGTACTTATTCTCTAAATTGAACTGGTTTTGAATCAGTTTTCAAAACACATTTGATTTCAAAATTAAAAAACCAAATCTAATAAAAACAAACCGTTTTTTTAAATTACCAAAATATCAACATATATTCTTATTTTTTTTAAATGCCGATTTGAAATTAACATAGGAGAAAAAACACGATATATATTTATGTAGGGTGGTTAAAAAAATTGAATTGAACCAAATTTATATTGGACTTAATTGCGTATTGAATTATCGAGAACTGAATTACTTTCAGATAAAACTATTTAAACCACGTTGAACTAAAATTTACAAGATTAAAAAATATACTTAAAAATAAAATACTCATTAATAATAATTCAAAAAATTCAGACCATTTAATAACAACGTATAATACAATTCAGAATTGAAGCACTGTTAACAAGAAGATTGGTTGATCTAAAAGGACAATGTGTGATTGGGTTATTAACCCACATAGACATAGAGTGTGGCATGCTATGTAATAAGGACATGGGGATAGGTTGATAAATATCATCATCAAACATTGACAAAGCCAATCATGGTACGTTCCCTCTGTGCCACACCTATAAAGCATAAACTTCCTCCACAACCACACCACTCCACCTTACTCTCCCTTTTTCTGACTCTCTCTCTTTCTCCAAACCATTTCATCCATCACAAGGAATTAATATATTCATTCAGAGTGAGAGATGATGAAAGAAGACATCAACTCATGCACCAAACGGGTTTGTGAACCCTTCAAAGCCTTCGGAAGGAGATGCACAAGGTTGGCTAAGGAGCAAAGGGCAAGGTTCTATATCTTCCGGAGGTGCATCACAATGCTTGTTTGCTGGAGAGAATGAAACTAGTTTCCATGAATATGTTTTTTCCTTGCATGCTTTCTTAGTGTTGCATAGTATGCATTATAGGACAGAGTTTTGGTTAGACGATGTTTTCAAGGGAATGGAATAGTAACCCATTTGTAATCAAATTACTGTTATGCTTTTTAATCTAAGGTTCTATCTAGCCTTTGCTTCTAGTTATCCTCTTGATGTGTGTTAGAATTAATTAGAAAGATTGTGTAGGGGATTGGAAGTTTTGGTGCTTTCTTCAACAAATGGGTTTTGACTGATGAGTAATGTAGATCATTGTCAAAGCCCTACTTTGACAACTTTTTATCAGTTTTCACTAAAATTCATTCAACTGGTTTTTCTGCAGAAACTCACTATTTTCCAACAATTCTTAACACTTTAGTATGGTACAATTTTATGCCAATGATTCTCCACTCTCCTCTTCAATCTATCGAGAGTTCTGGCCTCTTTTCTCCCATGTGGTAATTTTGGATATGATATGTTTTTTTCCTCATCCCTGTTTATGAAAGAAAGGAAATTATTTTCAATTCCTTATGTATTGTTTTAGGGTGTGTATATGCATGTTTGGTTTGTATACAAATTTATCTTTTGGAACTTTAGGAAACAAAAGCTATTTATCCTATGAAAAGTGCAAGTAGAATCCAGAGGGGTAATTTGCCTAAACTGTGAGCTTAATTGATTGCAGTGTTTGGTAAATTTGGCCAGCTTCTGAAACTCTAGCATTACGTGTGATACCAGAATAGCTAGGAAGAATGACCCCCATAAAGTGCCAAGCTAGGTTGTGTGGGATCCATGGGTCTTGTTTGAATGTGTGTGGATTATCCACAACCATTGCATTTAAGGACACCTTTCAATATATTATATCCATCAATGTCATAAAACTTCTCCAACTAATGAAAGCATTATTAGTCTTAGAAAAATGTTCATAATTCAGGAAATATTTTGACTGTAGAATGGTGGATTCTAAAGAATTGGGTTGGTGTATGTCCCATCCTTGTTGGACAAGCTATGACAGGATTTGAAGTTTTTCAATTTCTTGAATCTCAAAACCCTGTGATAAACCAACAAAAACTGACCTAACTGAAAAGGAGAAGATTCTTATTCTAGAAAAATGAGAATTTAATTTCTAATGTGGTTTAATGACAAACCATCTATAAATATCTTTCCAAACAATTTTTTAATCTTAATTCCAATTCACCTAAATTTCTCCATATAAAAAAAATTAATAAGTGAGGTTAGCTTATCTCCTCTTAGTTATGGAATGAATAACGTTTTGTTTAACCCTACCAAAATTGAATCTTCAACAAATTAAACAACACATTAATTAAAGGTTTTTTCCTTCTTTTTTTTAAGAATCATTGTACTTTTCCATAAATCAATTTTTAATATCTTTTCTCTGAATTTTTAACACCAAAATATCCTTCATGTCAATGTCAATGGAAACAAAATAATTTTAGAAAAGATTTGTTCAATTACCCTTATATTAGAAAGTTAGGTTTTAACTCTAGGTACACAACAGAGTGATTGAATATATGATAAGTATTAGAATGAATAAATAGAGTGATTGGATATATGATAACAACAAGTAAGAGAGGAAAAAAATATTTTAGTTAATATTTTAGGAAGACTTTTTAACATGTTTAAATAGTCGTTATTTAGTAACTAATAATAGTGAATTAACAATTGACAAATTGTGCATGATTGTTCATAATTAAATTACTATTTTAACACTCTCTCTTAATTCATCTTTATTGAACATTGAATCTCAAGTTTACTCTTAAGCTATTCAAACTTTTCCTATTTTGAAAGACTTGATTAGAATGTTTACAATTTAATTAACATATATGAAGAATTTAAGTGTTAACTTTCTTTACTTATTTGATCTCTTAAAAAGAAAAATTGGATTTTAACATGTTTATTTCTTTATTATATTTTTAACCAGATTCATTCATGACTGTTATCCATAGTTAATAACATGTTTTCTTCTGTCTTTGTTTCCAATTATTCAAGCAAAGTCTTGACACTCATACTAACAAATATATACTCAACCTCACGTGAAGGCAAAGTCACGATAAATTACTTTCTTGAGCACTAAAATATTGGAGTATCTTCAAACATGAATGCATATCATATGGCGTTTTCTTGCCAACTTTATCTCCACACAATTAACATAGAGTATCTAACCATATTATGATTAGATTTGTTAAATTTGTTAGGAATTATCAGTTCCTGGCTAATTTTCTCTTAATACACCTAAGCAACCTCTTAACAACATATAAGGTGTCTCTATGTATCTTCTCACAAGTCTTACTCCATATTAAATATCATGTCTTATATTGTAGACATATCTTAACAATTTTATGATTTGTCTATATCGAATATGTTCACCAGTTGATCTCCTTCTGATTTGTCAAGTGTATTTTCAATATCAATAAGTGTTGAAATTGAATTGTAACTTATCATATGAATTATTTTCAATAATTGATAGCATACTTGTTTTAATGCATGAAAAATTACACCTTTAGTTTTCTTAAACTCTATTCCAATAAAAAAATTTCAAGTTAGTAATTTCAAATTCAGTCTTCATATCCTACTTAAATGCATTAATTTCTTCAGTTTTATTTGTCGATACTAACATGTCATCAATGTATAAACACATTATTAAGAAATAGTCATATTTAATCGTTTTATGTACATACCATAGCCAGTGGTGCATTTCACAAATTCAAGATTTAGGAAGAGATTGTCAATTCTTCTATTCAGGATTTTGGAGCTTGCTTCAAAACATGCAGACTCTTATGTAATTTGTACACTTTCACTTCATTGCCTTTATCTTCAAACCCAGGTAGTTGTGATATAAATTATTCCTCCTCTTGTGGCCCTTAAGAAGACAAATTTGGCATCCATATAGTGTATTAACCAACAATGGTAGTTTGTCACAAAAATCATTAGTCTTATGATTTCTAATCTTGCAACTGAAGCAAATACTTTATCATAGTCCAAACTTTGTTTTTACAAGAAACCATTAGTTACAAGTTTGATCATGTACTTGATTATCTCACCCTTTGAAATTAATTTCACTTTATACACCCATCTCACAACAATTGTTTTCTTCTACATTAATAGTAGAGTGAGTCTCCAAGTCAGATTCTTCTCAATTTATCCTATTTTTTTTCTCATGACCTCCATCTAATATGTCTCCTTCAATGCTTTCTCAAAGCTTACTGGTTCCATCTCTACTAACACTACTACAAATAAGGCTTTCCACGTCGGTTCTGGAAGGCCTTCAACGGCGGTTCCAGAACCGACGTTGTATCAGACTTTCCACGCGTTAAATCGACGTTAAATCGAAAATTTTTATTTATTTCCAACCCCTCTCCCTCTCTCTATTTATCTAGAAATCCCCCTCTCTTTTATATTATATTTTTATTAGGTCCCTCTCTTTTTTATATTATATTTTTATTATTTATCATCTTTTTTTAAAGTTTAGAGCATTACCAAATTAATTTTTTGTCACTGACAGGATTCGAACCCAAGTACATTAGTGTTGGAGGCTAATACTCCAACCACTAAACTACTCGAATTTTTTGATAATAACTTACAAATAAATTATATTTATATACAAATAAATATATATCCGTGTAAATATATAAATATATAAATACAAATATATTTATATATTTTGATATATTTATATAATTATATATTTATATGTTGGATGTGAGGGCACGCTCGAAGGTGAAAGTGTGTCGAGTGAGTTTTCAAAATTTGATTTCAAATTTGTGAGCGAGTCTCTTTATATGGGTTTGTAATTTAATGACAGAATATAATATTTATAATTTATTAATGATATAAAATAAATATGAGAAACGCATCATTCGCTCAAGCGAAAAATACCAATTTTCGCTCAAGCGAGGCTTGAACGAGTGAATTTTCGTGAGTTTTAACGTATTTTCACTCAAGCGAGAGTCAATCTCACTTTCACCCTCGAACGCGCCTTCACATCCAACATATAAATATATAACTATATAACTATATAAATATATATAAATATATCAAAATATATAAATATATTTGTATTTATATATTCTATATTTATATATTTACACGAATATATATTTATATGTATATAAATATAATTTATTTGTAAATTATTATAAAAAAATTATAGTAGTTTAGTGGTTGAAGTATCAATTTTCAACTCTAAAATACTCGGGTTCAAAAAATCCTGTTAGTGACAATTCTCTAACTTAAGTAAATTTTTGGCTGAAAAAAATAAAAACACTTTCCGAAAAATATATATATTTACACGGATATATATTTATTTATATATAAATATAATTAATTTGTAAGTTATTATCGAGAAAATTACAGTAGTTTAGTGGTTGGAGTATCAACTTTTAACTCTAAAATACTCGGGTTCGAATCCTATCGATGAACAATTCTCTAACTTAAGTAAATTTTTGGTGAAAAAAAATAAAAACACTTTCCGAGAAAATATATATAAATAAATATATATTTACACGGATATATATTTATTTGTATATAAATATAATTAATTTGTAAGTTATTATCGAGAAAATTACAATAGTTTAGTGGTTGGAGTATCAACTTTCAACTCTAAAGTACTAGGTTCGAATCTCGTCGGTGACAATTCTTGAAATTAAGAGAATTTTTGGGTGAAAACACATTCAACGTCGGTTCCCAGTAGAACCGACGTGGAAAGTGCTTTCTACGTCGGTTGACTAAGAACCGACGTAGAATGTGTCCAACATTCAACTTTCAACGTCGTTTTTTAACCAACCGACGTTGAAAGTGTATTTAACGTCGGCTCAACTTTAACCGACGTTAAATGGCGACGTTGAAAGTATATTTTGTAGTAGTGTAACAAAACCATTTGGACCTAGTTATCTTCAAGTGTGACTTCTGAATCTAGAAAGACTTCATAATCACCCATTCTTAGTGGAGTTTGTCTCACTCTTTTAGGTCTTCTTCCATTATTAAATTTTGTCTAGTTGTTGTCTAATATCCTCATTAAGATGTATTATTGTTCATCTTCTAAATCATCACTTATGTTATTCCAATCCCAATATTAAGTTTCATTAATCTTTAAGTTCTTATTAAAAGATTATTTTTAGAGTCATAGGATTGTAAACTCTGTATGCTCTTGTAGAATGATATTCAAACAAAATAAACTTTTCACCCCTATCATTTAGTTTCTTTTTTTATACATCAGTAATAAATGAATTAAAAGAGTCTTAACTGACTAAATTTTGGTTTCAAGTCTAACCATGCTTATTCATGAGTGATTTCATCTAGTCTTCTTATAAGACATTTATTTAGAATGTAAACAACTATCGAGACAATTTCACCCTGAAATTTTTTTGATCAATTTCTTAATCTTTAACATGTTTCTGTTTGTGTTTAAGATTGTCTTATTCTCCCTTTTTGCATTGTTATTGTGCTATGGAATATAAGATACTGTCATATTGGGAATCAACCCATCTTTATGCAATATATTCCTATTTATTGAAAGTGTACTCTCCCTTCCATTAGTCCTTAGTAATTTTAGTTTTTATTCACTTTGTCTTTGAATTTGTGCTTTGAAGATAAGAAAAGTGACAAGCACGCCACTCTTCCTCTTGATTAGTTAAATATAAATCTTCTTATAAAATCATTTATGAAAGTCACAAAATACGTATTACCACCTAATGAGTTAACCTCAAAATGTAGACGTCTTATCATACTAACTCAAGTGCTTTAATTGACTTTGTAAGAAGATGAGTTATAAATGAGTTCTTTATCTACTTATTTGGAAGGAACTCACTAAATAACTCATTAGGGGTTCAAATATCACACAATCCAATCATAATACCAACTATATTTATCTTTCATTGTCACTATATAACTTTTTTTTAACAAATTGATTAAGACTTAACAAGTTATTTTTCATCTTAAGGACATATTGAGTGTTTGTCATCTTTATTTTGAATTAAAATCTTTCCTATTCCTTTTTCATCAATGAAACTATGATCTACAAATTTAGAATTATTGTTAAGATTTCTCTCCTTAATCCTTTGTTCATGTGTCTCTAGGAACTTTGAAGTTCCTCAATCTTGAAAAACTCAAAGGTTCTTTGACTTCTTTATTTCGACCTCAGTATAATTGAATTTTGGAGATCATTTTCTCAACCACCAATTGAACTTTCATTTGGTTTGTCAAGAATTAAATCATAATAAAATAATCAGGGATGATTTCACTCTCTTTCATGTTGAAATTCATATTGTCTTTGTATCGTTTGGAACTTTACCTTCTTGATTTTCATTGTTCCTTTATAGTTTTTCTCCAAGTTATTCTAAAACTACCTTAACATTTGTTGTACTAAAATTTTTCTAAAAATTCACATCATCCATGTACTGATGAATCGAGAACAATATCGTACAACTTTTCTTCTTGAAATCTTTGAAGATGGACTTTTGGGTTTTAGTTTCATTATCTTCAACAACTTAACAGTGATCACGCATAATTTTATGAACTTCTTGGAAATTAAATATTATCTTTATTTTGATAGGCTACTTATCATAGTTCTTGTCATTATGAATTAGTAGTGGCATAAGAGCATTTCTATTGAAAGCAACTCACATTAGTTGTTTCTCATATTAAAAAATATAAAACATAGATTTATAGTGTCACATCATTCTTAAACAATTAACTCTTTATCTTATTTTATTAGAAATTTTTTAATAAATTAAAAAAAAATCATTTTCTCTCCCAATTTGTTTTGTTTTATTTATTTTTGTAAGTTGTTTGATGAAACAACGTTTACAAAATTTAAACAACTTATCACGTCACATAAAATTTCTCTAATTAAAAGTTATTTCAAGTAATTAATATCTTACTTAAACATTTTAATAAACAAATCTCACTAGAGATACTCTAATAAACTTTTATTGGTAATGATTTTTAATTAACACTATTTTTACTTATAAAATCAGTAAATTTTTTTATGGAATCAATATTATTTTTAAAGTCATCATCTTAAATAATAATAACAAATACTCATGATTGAATTATTATTTTAATATCTATATATCATAATTAAATCATTAATTTAATTGTTTTTAATAAATAAAATTAAATATTTTGAAACAAAATATAAATATTTTATAAAAAAACTCTATTTTTAACCGTCATTATGTTATTAGCGGATTTAACATAACGGATGATGAAAATTATTTTTTTTAATATAAAAAATAAATTGTATTCTTACAAAAATAATCTAAAATAAATTAACCCAAAAATAAAAAATAAAATTAATAATTTATCCTTAATTTTAAGACTTTAGTTAAAAGTTATTTCTTCACTCAACTGAAGCCGTAGCGAATTATCTGTGTTTCATGTTAATTAAACATTAACCACAAATTAAAAATTAAGAATAGCTTATCTTAATTATTGCAATCAGCAATTGGACAGCAAGCAGGGTCCACCCTTTGTCCCTACTGATATTCATTTCCAATATGACCAACTGAGACACCAGTCTTATTTTACGTCACAATATTTATTTTCATGTATATTTTTATATAAATCTTATTCAAAACACAGTTAGATATTAAATGTATAAATTTTTACTGGACATTCACATAGTAATTTATCATTTTAAAAAGAGACTAATATTTTTCATTGAACAAAATTAGTTCGTTGTTGCAAGTTCTAAACTCTACATTATGATTTCATACAAAATAATAATAATTTTAAGATTTTCATTTTTTTCTGAAAAAAAAAGAAGAAGATTCCAACAATGATTAGAGTTTGGAATAAAGCCGTGTAAAAGTCATGCTTGAGAATTCTTCAGTTGAAAGCTTGATATTTAAGTGTGTGATTGAGTGAGTCTCTTGTTCAATTATGAAGATTGGGGATTATTAGAGACTTGTTTGAAATTTTAAGCTTTCATGAGTTTGAAATTTTAGTGTCGATGTGGCTTAAATGTTTCCAGGAAGTGCCAGCATCTCTTAAAACTCCATAATATTATTCCAGTTGTAATGTAATAACCATCACCACCCATTCATGCAATGTTTCCATAACTTTAATCATTCAAAAAGATGTTCAAGTGGTTTAAACAGTGTTCAACATCAACCATGTCATATATTTTTTTCTTCTCAATGAAATAATTAAATAATAATATAATAATAATAAATTTAGTATTTTTTTTATGGACATAATCTATTAATCCTAAGACTTTATTTTATATTTAGCTAGTTCAATGTCTAGCTCCTTAGTTAAAATTATTGATTACAATAAATATTATAATATTCTTGATTACAAATTAATAATATAAACTAAAGTTCACTGTAACAGTTAAAGGAGACTTAGTCTCCCATTAAATAATTATAAAAGTGGTAATTTTTCATAAGAAAAAAAATATTTTGACCTTTCTTCTTGTAAACATACAAATAATAATCTTAAAATAATATTATTTTGATTGATTAATAAAAAAAATGAAAAAAATAATAATATAAAAATCTAAAAATTATGGTTGAGTGGTTATCTTTTTCCATTTCAAAATATCTTTAACATTCTTTC